TGGAGCATAGAGCTCAGGTGCCACATATTGTAGTGGCCTCCGGCCAGTGCCGCCGATCCGGGGCGCTCCGGGTGCCTGTGGAAATGTACGACGACGAGGAAGACGAAAACGACGACGAAAACGAATACGTCGACGACGACGACGACGAGAGCGACGACGACGACGACGACGACGGCGATGACGACGACGACGACGCGACGACAACGACGACGAAGACGACGACGGCGACGGCGATGACGACGACGACGACGCGAGCGACGACGATGACGACGACGACGATGACGCGAGTGACGACGACGACGACGACGACGACGACGACGACGACGACGACGACGACGACGACGACGATCGACGACGACGCGTACGACGACGACGACGACGACGACGACGACGACGACGACGAAGGACGACGACCGACGAAGACGACGGACGACGGACGACGACGACGACGACCGACGCGACGACGACGACGACGACCGAAGACGACGGACGGGAGGACGAGACGACGACGGACGACGACGACGACGACAGACGGACGACAACGCGGACAACGGACGACGCAGACGACGGGGGGGGGAGGGCTGGTTTGCAGGGGGGGTGGGTATGCTCGAAGGGGGGGGTCCGCTTCGGCAGAGGGGCGGGCTGCAGGGGAGACCGGGGGTTGTCCGCTTGCAGGGGGGGGGAGCTGCAGGGGGGGGGGTCTGCTGTGCAGGGGGGGGTGCAGGGGAGGGGGGGGTCCGCCTGCAGGGGCGGGGCTGCACGGGGGGGGTCGCCTCTGCAGAGGGGGGGGGGGTGGGCCTGCGGGGGGATGGGAGGGGGGGTCCGCTGTGAGGGGAGGGGTGCAGGACTTGGGGTCTGCTCTCAGGGGGGGGGGGGGTGCAGGGGAGGGGGGGGGGGGTCCGCTCTGCAGGGGGGGAAGGGGCTGCAGAGGGGGAGGTCCGCTCTGCAGGGGGGGGTCTGCTCTGCAGGGGAGGGGGTGCAGGGGAGGGGGGGGGAGTCCGCTTTGCAGGGGGGGGGGGGCTGCAGAGGGGGTGTCCGCTCTGCAGGGGCGGGGGGGGGGCTGGGCTGCAGGAGTGGGTGGGGGGCGCTCTGCAGGGGAAGGGTCCACTCTGGAGGGGGGGGGTGCAAAGCACTGAATTAGGTCGGAAATGAGGTCCCCCCCTGCCCCCGAAGCATTGAATTAGGTCGGGAATAGGTCGGAAATGAGGTCCCCCCCCCCGCAGAGCGAAGCTTGAGCGAGCTCAATCCCACGCTCTCAGAAACTCACACGCCGGATCGGCGGATTATATTTTTTCGGGCGAAGATACGTACAATGTTTTTATAGCTAGATGCGTTCCACGTGTTCCCTCTTCGTAGTTCCGGAGAATTTTTTATTTGGGGGTGCGTACGTCGATTCTGTAGTCGATCCCCTACTCGAGTGATTGGGATTCTTGAAGTCGGGGGGGGAGCCCGTGGCCCTGCAGAGACACCCGCCGCCGAGAGCCTGGCAAGGCCCACATACACAGACACAGACGCACAGACACAGACACGCAGACACACAGACACAAAGACACAGACACACAGACACACAGACACACAGACAACACACAAACACACAGACACACAGACACACACACACAGACACACAGACACACAGACACACAGACACACAGGCAACACACACAAACACACAAACACACAAACACACAAATACACACGCACGCACGCACGCACACACACACGCCACACAACACAGAACACAGAACACAGAACACACAACACACAACACACAACACACAACACACAACACACAGCACGCAACACACAACACACCACACACCACACACACAACACACCACACACCACACACATCACACACCAGACACACCACACACCACACACCACACAGCACACAGCACACAGCACACAGCACACAACACACACACGCTCTCTCACACACACACACAAGCACGCACGCACGCACGCACGCACGCACACCACACACCACACCACACACACCACACACCACACACAACACACACCACACACACCACACACACACCACACACACACCGCACACACCACACACACCACACACACCACACACACCCACACACACACACACACACACACACCGCACAACACACACACACTCACACAACACACACAACACACAACACACACACCACACAACACACACAACACACAGACACACAACACACACTCACACACACACAACACAGACACACACAAGCACGCACACACGCACGCACACGCGCACACACAACACACAACACACGACACAAACACACCACACACAACACACAACACACCACACGCAACACACAACACACACCACACACCACACAACACACACAACACACCACACAACACACTTCACACAACACACAGCACACACCACACAACACACACCACACACCACACAACATACACCACACACCACACACCACACACCACACAACACACACGCTTACACACACACGCCCCAATACACACCACACACACACCCACACACACACACCCACACACACAACACACCCACACCCACACCCACACACACATTCTCACGCACGCACGCACACACAACACACAACGCACAACTCACAACACACAACATACAACACGCACCACACAACACACACACACGCTCTCTCACACACACACGCAGGTACGCACGCGCGCACGCACGCACGCACACACACACACCACATACACCACACACACCACACACCACACACACCACACACACCACACACACACGACACACAACACACAACACACAACACACCACACACCACACACAAACCACACACCACACACATCGACACACACTCTTACACACCACACAACACACGCACACACCACAAAACACACCACACACAACACACACACCCACACACACACACCACCACCACACACCACACATACCACACACACAACACACACACACCCCCACACACACACCCACACCCACACACACACCCACACACACACCCACACACACCACACAACACACAGCACACACACACCCACACACACACATACACCCACACACACACACACCCCACACACACACAACACACCACACACACAACCACACCCACCAGGATGGATTCCAAATAGATATTTACCGAGGTTTATAATCGTCCAGGATTATTGACCCAGGTTCATAATGTCCCCCCGGAACATTATGAACTTGGGTCCCAGTGTTCTGGGAATATTGATTGGGGTTCATAATTTCCCCTCCGGCACAGTATAAACTATGGTTTAGAACGTTCTGGGGATATCGACCCCAAAAACATATCAACCTGGGTTCATAATGTTCCGGGAATATTGACTGGTGCCTACAACAATGTCCCGGGAATCGGGAATAATGAACCAGGTTTTCGTAATTCCGGAATGAGAATAATGATCATTTCCCCGCCAACCTCCGGGTTCCCCACCAGGTTTTTCATGTCTATTGACCCCGGTTCATTATCTCCAGGAGATAATAAACCCGGATTCATAATGTTCCCGGAATATTGACCCCGGGTTTATTGTTCTGGAATGATAATGATTGAGCCTGGGGGGCGCCGTTTGAGAGTACGTTCCGGACTGAAATAAACCCTGGTCCATAATGTTGGAATATTAAACTTAGGCTGATTATTCCGGAAAGATAATGATTCGGCCGGGGGTGGCTGAGCCCGATCCATTCACAGGACGATGATCCATAGGGTACTATCTGAAGATAATGAGCCTAGGTTTTCATTCTTCGATAATCAACCACGGCCGACGAGGATTTCGGAGGTGGCCTCAAACCCACACACAACACACACACACTCACACCCACACACACGCACCACAAAACACACAACACACACCCGCACACACACGCACACACGCACGCACGCACACACAACACACAACGCACAACATACAACACACAACAAACAACACACAACACACAACACACACACGCACACACACACACACACGCACGTACGCACGCACGCACGCACACACACCACACACACACTACACACACCACACACACACCACACATACCACACACACACACCACATACAGCACACAACACACAACACACCACACACACGCACTCACACAAACACGCACGCACGCACGCACGCACACACACCACACACACACCACACACCACACACACACACCCTCACAAACTCTCACACACACACACGCCACACAATACACACCACACACGCAACACACACACCCATACATACATCACACAACACACACCACACACCGCACACCACACATCACACACACACTTACACACACAGCTACACACACCCTACACACCCACACACACGCAACACAACACACACACAACACACGCACACCCACACACACACACACCCACACAACACACACCCACCCACACACACACCCACAACACAACACACACCCACACACACACCACACACGCACACGCACGCATGCACACACAACACACAACGCACAACACACAACGCACACCACACAACGCACAACACACAGCACACACCCACACACGCACTCACACATACACGCACGCACGCACGCACGCACACACACACACACACTACACACGCACCACACACACCACACACCACACACACCACACACACAGCACACAGCACATAACACACAACACACAACACACACCACACACACAACACACCACACACACACACCCACACGCACACCAGACAACCACACACCACACAACACACACAATACACAACACACACGCCCACACACACCACACAACACACACACACACACACCACACACACACCCGCGCACTCATCCACACACACACCCACACCCACACACACCCACACACACACCCACACACACCACACAACACACACACGCAACACACACCCACACACACCCACACCCACACATTCACACCCACACCCACAAACACACACCACACACAACACACACACCCACACATCCACACACCACACACCACACACATGCTACACACATCCACACACACATTCACACACGCACGCACACACAACACACAACGCACAACACAACACACAGCACACAACACACAACACACAACACACACACACACGCAATCGCACACACACACACACACGCACGCACGCACTCATGCAAACACACCACACACACCATACACACCACCCGCCACACCACACACCACACACACCTCACACACACAACACACAACACACACCACACCACACACACCACACACAACAGACACACACACACCCACACACACTCACACACACCACACACAGCACACACATCACACAACACACAACACACACATATACCTACACACACCACACAACACACCACACAACACACACCCGCACATAGACACCCACACCCACACACCCACATACACACAACACACACACACAACACACACATACCCACACACACACCACACACACACCCATATACACCAACACACACAACGCACACACACCCACACACACACACCACACAACACACAACACACATAGACACACGCACGCACGCACGCACGAACACACACACAACACACAACGCACAACACACAACACTCAACACATATTATACAACACACGACACACACGCACGCACTCACACACACACACCACACACACCATACACACCACACATACACCACACACACCACACACACCACACACATCACACACACCACACACACCACACACACCACACACACCGCACACCACACACACACTCTCACACACAACACACACCACACACACACTCACACACACAACACACACCACACACACACTACACAACACACAACAACAACACACATAACACAACACCCACACACCACACACCACATAACAACACACACAACAACACCAACACACACCGCACAAGAACACACACCCACCACACCACACAACACACACATCAACACACACATACCCACACACACAACACAATCACACACACTCACACACACCCACTCACAAACACACACCACACCCCCCCCCCCCCACCCCCGCACACACCACACATTCACACCCACAACACACAACACAACACACACAACACACACACACGCACACGCACGCATGCACACACAACACACAACGCACAACACACACCACACAACACAAATCACAACACACACAACACACAACACACACACACGCACTCACACACACACACACACACACGCACGCACGCACACACGCGCACCCACCACACACCACACACACACACACCACTCTCACACACCACGCACCACACACACCACACACACCACACATAACACACAACACACCACACACCACACACACCACACACACACATCGCACACACCACACATTTACACCCACACACTCTCACACACATGACACAACACACACACACACACCACACAGCACACACACACCACACAACACACACACGACACACACACACACAACACGCACACTTCGACACACACACACACACGCACACACGCACACACGCACACACACACACTCACACACACACCCACACACCCACACACACACACACACACCCACACACACACACACACGCACACACACACACACCCACACACACTCGTTGGCGCCTGGGGCCGGCGCGCACGCCTCCCGCCTCCCTCGTTGAGCTCTGGGGCGGCCAAGAGGGGGGGTGTGGGGCGGCCAAGAGGGGGGGTGTGGGGCGACCAGGGGGGGGGGATATCATGGCCGGGGCCCTTCCCTGCCAGGCGGAGCGCGCCAGGGGCGGCTCCGGTGGCCAGGAGGGCGTCTAGCGCCGATCTGAGAAATCCGTGCGGACCTCTGAGGTTTCGTGCTCGTGCAGTTTTCTCCCCCCCCATCCACGGGGGCCGTGAGATCTCTCCCCAGATTTCATGGTGTCTCTTCTTATCTCATTACGCCCCTGCCCCCCCCCCCCGGGCCGCGAACGTGCCGCCGGCCATGCTTTGCGCCCCCCCCCCTCTCGGACGCCCCCCTCTTTTGGACGCCCCCGACGAGCCAGGGCTGGTCTGGCCCGCATCGGTGCAGGTGGCCAGCCTCGGCAGCGATCTTCGAGGCTCGAATTTTTGAGGTGCTCGAGCTTTGAGGGTCGAGGCGTTGTTGCCTCGTTCTCGGGCCTCCGTTTTCGGGCCCCAAGGCCCTCGAAAATCGATCCGGGATGAGGAACGGCGTCGGATGGACCCCAGGAGGGACCAACGTAGACCGATATTCGGCGGCGCGCCTATGGGGGAAGGCCCTCTCAGAAGGCGGCGGGACTTTTCAGAGGCCCTCGCGCCTTCCGAGGAGTTTTCTGTGTCTCTGGGGACGGCGCAGGAGACTTGTCAGGAGGCCGGGCTGCTTCCGAGCCTCCCGACAAGGCCCGCCCCCTCTCACCCTGACCTTCCAGAGAGCTATTTTTTAGCACTGGAGACCTAAAGACCTAAAAAGCGTAGCGAAACAGCCTAAAACCAAGACGTAGAATAGCTCTGGGATGCTCCAGATTTCGTTATAAAAGGGAGGGGGTCTGGAACCCTCCAAGACAAGCCATTTCAGACCCCCCCCGTTGGGAGAACCCTCTAAAACATCGTCCCCAGACCCCCCCAGGCCCTCCAAGATAGCCTGGAAGAGACCCCCCCCGAAATGAGACCCCCCTCCCTTTCTTACGAAATCTGGAGTAGGTTTGTAGGTCGCGTGCTATTTTGTAGCCCTCCTGGAAGGTCAGGGCACTTTTCCCCTATAGGCTCGCCGCCGACAGACCTCCGACGGCCTGTTCTTCTTCACGCCGCGGCCCCGGGAGGTCCCTCCCCCCCCCCTGGGGGGTAGTTCCCAACCATCCTGTGGTGTTGGGTCCTCCCTTTGAAGAGACAGCGGCCCGCGTTCCTCTCCTCCTCCTCCTCCTCCTCCTCCTCCTCCTCCTCCTCCTCGCCAGGCTAAATTTTGATGTTTGACCCCGATCCGTTTTTTGGTGGCCCCGGGGCCCGGGCGCGGGCCCCCCAGCCCCGAGGCCGAGGTGCCGAGGGACAGCGCCCCTCGGACGGAGAGGGAGCACACGCCCCTTTTGTCGGAGCCCCGGGTGTGCACGGCTGATGCCCTCCCCGAGGACGCGGGCGCGGGCCCGGAGGGCGGGGACGCGGAGGACCCCAGGGCTTTTTCTGGGCCTCTCAGATGGGGTCGGAGCAGAGGGGGTGCGAGGATCTCGCCGCATCGCCGCGATGCATCGGCGATGCATCAGCGATGCGGCTCGATGTGGGGCCCGATTTTCTCCACGCCGACATCGCCGATGCACCGCCGACGTCGCCAGTGCATCGCCGATGTATCGGCGATTCGGCGAGATCCTCCGACCACATCTACTCGGACCCCATCTAGGAGGCTTCTACTTTCGTCGGTAGTAAGCCATGTGAGCCTGGTATACCTTCTTCATTCCGTCTTCAGCGTCGGCTAGGGTCGATTAGCGTCTGGGAGTCGATGAGATAGCGCCGATTTAGCCTCGGTCAGCGTCGACTGGTGTCGATTTAGCGTCGATTAGCGCCGACCCAGCGTCGACCAGCGTCGATTCGCAAGAGCCGACACGATGGTATGGGAGGCTCTCATGAATTGCCACTGAAGTTTTCCCTTCGGAGCCCGCTCGGCGCCCGGGCCCACTCGGTCGCCGAGTGGGGCAGCAAGGGGGCGGGCTCGGCTCCCGCAGAGGGGCGCCGATGGGGGCCGAGCCTCCACGCGCGCGGGCTCGCACGAGCGGGCGCTCGGCCTCTGGGTGCCGTGCCGCGGCGTCGAGCGGGCCTCGGGCGCCGAGCAGGCTCCGGAGGGGACCCCCCGGGGGAGGCACTGGACTTGGAGGGCGGCACAGAGGATCAGAGTCGTGATGTTCCAACCTACTTTAGCCTCGATCACCAGGAAGAGGTTCGAGCACCACGGGAGCACCGAACCTGGAGGGCTTTCACGTGCCGGGCCCTGGGAGGCGAGAGTTACTCTTTCGACACTGTCTCGATCTTTTTCTGGGTGCTCGACATTAGTTTGGGGATGTGGTCCTTCAGTGCGATGGGAGCAACATAAGAGGAGGAGGAGGAGGAGGAGGAGGAGGAGGAGGAGGAGGAGGAGGAGGAGGAGGAGGAGGAGGAGGATGAGGAGGAGGAGGAAGAGGAGGAGGAGGAGGAGGAAAAGGCACCGAGACCGCTGCCCCTCCCTCGAGTCGCCTCCTTCTGAGCCTCCTGGCAGGCCCCCCCGTCCCCCAGCGGCTGGACTTTTTCGCCTCGGAGTTCTGGCCAGCACGCACCCAGGCCTTCTCCCTCCTCCTCCTCCTTCTCCTCCTCCTCATCCTCCTCCGCCTCCCTCGTCATCCTCGTCCTCCTCGTCCCATCGTCCTCCATCGTTCCTCCTCCTCCTCTCTCCTCCTCCTCCTCCTCTCCTCCCCGTCCGTCCTCTCCTCTTCCTCCCTGCCTCCTCCTCCTCCTCCCCTCCCCTCCGCCGCGCCGCCGCCGCCGCCGCCGCCGCCGGCCGCCGCCGCTCCTCCTCTCCTCCTCCTCCTCCCTCCTCCTTCCTCCTCCTCCTCCTCCTTCCTCCTCCTCCTCCTCCTCCTCCTCCTCCTCCTCCTCCTCCTCTCTGCGAGTTGTGGCATCGGGGCGGCTTGGTTTTCCCAAAGGAGCTGGATCTGAGGTCGCCTATGCCCCTTCTGAGGAGCTTGATCCGGAGGACGGGGACGTGCGGGAGGTCCAGCTCTGGCGCGGGATCACCGGGCAGATCTTCACGACCATCAGGTGCAAGCCGTCCACGACCGTCCTGCAGGCGAAGGAGGCCGTCGAGGCCCTGACGGGGGTTCCCCTCAAGCAGCAGAGGCTCCTGAGCTTCGGGAGCAGGGACGTCCTGACAGACGACGCGCTGGTGTGCACCGAGTGCATCAGCTCCTGCGGGGGCCTGCAGATTATGATCGACGACCCCCGCCCGATCGCCTGGGAGGACTCCTCGTCCGAGGAGGACCCCCTGTCCTCGTCCGAGGATCAGAAGTCGGACGCTGCGGCCGAGGACCGCCAGGGCTCCGGCGGCCCCTCCGCCCGCGAGGCGGAGGGCGGCCCGGAGGCGGGGGCCGGCGGGGCGGGAGCCGCGCGGGCGGCCAGAAGGCGCGGCGGCTGCTCTTCCCTCGCGGTTGCGCGCTCCCTCTTTGCTCCCGCTCCTGCTCCCGCTCGTGCTCCCCGCCCGTTGCCGTGCCGTCTCTGGCCTCCGCCCTGCCCCGCTCCAGCGGGGGGCGAGAGTCGGTGTGCCAGAAGGCGGCGGCGGCAGGCCAGGCCCATAGAGGCCCAGGCCCGCTCCGGGCGGGGTCCTGGTGCCCATGGCCTCCCAGCCCTGGCCAGGAGGCCGTGCACACCAAGTCTTAAGTCGGGTATGTCCCTCTACAGGTGGAATATTCAAGAATAGTCTGAAAATAGGCTGGGGACGATTTTTCTAGTATTTTGACATTTCTAGAGTATTTTTCGAATCAAGCCCACCTGTAGGAGGACATGCCCGACCTAAACCAAGTCTTGGGCGTTGCCAAGGGAGGTCGCCAGTCAAGGGGGGTGTCACCACCACCACCTCCTGGAAGGAGAGGACCGAGGATCTGGGATCGAGAGGGTCTTGGACGTTCTTGGGTGCCTTTGGGGTCTCGGGGGCTGGGTCCAGGGAGGTCCGCTTCCCCGAGGAGGTGGCGACGCCCTCACGATGGTGACCCCTACTGGCGTGGTCTGGAAGTCTGGGCCCAGCCCGATCTCGGGCTGGCCCGGCGGCCGTGCAAGCAAGAAGAGGCGGAGGAGGAGGAGGAGGAGGAGGAGGAGGAGGAGGAGGAGGAGGAGGAGGAGGAGGAGGAGGAGGAGGAGGAGGAGGAGGAGGAGGAGGAGGAGGAGGAGGCGGAGGAGGAGGAGAGGAGGAGGAGGAGGAGGAGGAGGAGAGGAGGAGGGGAAGGAAGGAGGATGAGGAGGAGAAAGAGGAGGAGGCGGAGGAGGAGGAGGAGGAGGAGGAGGAGGAGGAGGAGGAGGAGGAGGAGGAGGAGAGGAGAGAGGAGGAGAGAGGAGGAGTGAGGAGGCGAGGAGGACGAGGGAGGATGAGGAGAACGAGGAGGCCGAGGGGAGACGGAGGAGGACGAGGGGGAGATGCGAGGAGGACGAGACGAGTAGGAGGAGGAGGGGGAGAGGAGGAGGAGGAGGAGCAGGAGGAGGCGGAGGAGGAGAGGAGGAGGAGGAGGAGGAGGGAGGGAGGAGGGAGGAGGAGGAGGAGCAGGAGGAGCAGGAGGAGAGGAGGGAGGAGGAGACGGAGGAAGGAGGAGGAGGCGGAGGACGGCGGGAGGAGGAGGAGGAGGAGGAGGAGGAGGAGAGGAGGGGAGGAGGAGAGAGGAGGAGGAGGAGGAGGAGAAGGAGGAGGAGGAGGAGGCGGAGGAGGAGGAGTGAAGAGAGGAGGGTGGTGGGAGGAGGGAGGAGGGAGGAGGGAAGGAGAGGAGAGAGGAGAGGAGGGATGACGGCGGAGGGCGGAGGGAGGTGGAGGAAGGAAGGAGGGGAGGGCGGGCGGAGGGAGGAGGCAGGGGGGAGAGGAGAGAGGATGGCGGATGACGGAGGAGGAAGGACGGAGGAGGGGGAGGTGGGAGGAGGGAGGAGGAGGATGGCGGTGGGGGGCGGAGCCCGAGGGACGAGGAGGAGGGAGGAAGGAGGAGGGAGGATGGGGAGGGAGAAGGAGGAGGGGAGGAGAAGGAGGAGGAGGAGGAGGTGGATGAGGAGGAGGAGGAGAAGAAGGATGAGGAGGAGGAAGGGGGAGGAGGAGGAGAACGAGGAGGAGGAGGAGGAGGTGGAGGAGAAGGAGGAGGAGATGGAGGAGGAGGACGAATAAAAATACGATCAACACTACTACTCATAATCGTAATAATACTAGTACTACGAATTTTAATATTAATAACAATACGAAGCATGATGCTGTGGATACCACTCATCTGAATCTTAATAATCGTAACCATAATACTGACTTAGTAGTAATAGAAATAATATCATTAGTATTCGGAATAATATTCGTTCTTATAATACTACGACTAATACTAATAAGAGTATTACTGCTCTCACTACCACTACTACTAATACCACTACCTGTGCTACTACTACTACTAATAGTACTAATATTACTAACACTAATATTACTAATACTAATACTACCAATGATAATACTATTAATATTAATGGTAAACTTACTACTGATACTACTATACTACTACTACTACTACTACTACTACTACTACTACTACTACTACTACTACTACTACTACTACTACTACTACTACTACTACTAATACTACTAACTACTACTACTAATATTAATAATTACGATGCTCCACCAATATTATAATTATTTATATTGTTATTAATATTATTATTATTACTATATAAGAATAAATACTACTCACCCTACTGATCACTATATTACTATTACTATTACTGATTAATATTACTATTACTATTAATACTTATAATACTACTACTACTACTAATACTATATACTTACTTCTGACTACTACTTTCCATAATTACTTATTTACTATTACGAATAATAATACGACTACTACTAATAATAATGATGCTAATGGTAATAACAGTATCAATACTAATAACACTAATAATAATAGTACTACTACTACTACTACTACTACTACTACTACTACTACCTTATTCATAATAACAACAATAATAATACTATTAATAATAAAAATAATAATGTTGATAATGATGATGATAATAATAATACTACTAATAATAATACTAATAATAATAATAATAACAATCATAATAATAATAATAATAGTAATACTAGTACTACTACTAATAATCCGAATACGAATAATAGTAATTCTGATAGTACGAATGAAAATAATATTAATAATACTCGGAGTGAGAGTAAGACGATTCATACTAGTAACAGGCACCATACAACTAATAGTAATAATAAGAAGAGGAGAAGGAGGAGGAAGGAGGAGGGAGGAGGGAGGAGGGAGGAGGGAGGAGGGAGGAGGGAGGAGGGAGCAGGGAGAAGGGAGGAGGGAGGAGGGAGGAGGGAGGAGGAGGAGGGAGGGAGGGAGGAAGGGGGGGAGGGGATGGAGGCAAGCTAGGTGCGCTCGCGTCATATCTGACGTCCTACCCCTCCCTCCATCCCTTACCCATGGCCGACTGATCTTCTCTATCCGCGGACGCGTGTCGTAGCGGACCTGTGGCTACCGTGCGCGCGTGCGTTAGTGGGTGACACCGGCCGTGCACGTGGTGCGTGCGTGCCCGTGTGCGTTAGACGTCGCATGGGGGTGTGGTGGTGGTGGTGGGTAGTGGTGGTGGTGGTGTTTGGTGATGGTGGTGGGTGGTGGTGCTGGTTGTGGGGTGGTGGTTATGGTGCTGGTGGTGGTGGTGTTGGTATATGGTGTGGTGCTGGTGGTGTTGTGGTTGTGGTGGTTGGTGGTGGTGGTGGTGGCGGTGCGGCGCGGTGGTGGCGGGCGGATGGGCGCGCGAGAAAGAGGCCCGCGCTGGGGCGAGAACGCCATCCTGAACGACGGAGGCAAACACCGATCCGAAAATGAGGCCCACGCTGCAGCGGGAGCACGATTCGGAACGATTCGGGAGCAGAAATGAGGCCGGAGCCTCAACGAGAGCAGCATTTTGGGAAACAGTGACGCCGGCGCCTCAGCGAGAGTCGTTTCCGGGATTTCCCGGGCAATCAGTGTGGTGAGGTGGTGGTTGTGATGGTGGTGGTGGTGGTGGTGGTGGTGGTGGTGGTGGTGGTGGTGCGGCGCAGTGGTGGCGGGCGGATGGGTGCGCGAGAAAGAGGCCCGCGCTGGGGCGAGAACGCCGTCCTGAACGACGGAGGCCAAACACCGATCCGAAAATGAGGCCCGCGCTGCAGCGGGAGCACGATTCAGAACGATTCGGGAGCAGAAATGAGGCCGGCGCCTCAGCGAGAGCAGCATTAAAAAAAAACGCAGGCGAAAACCCGTTTCCCGGGAATCCTGTGTGTAAAAAAAACAGTACGCGGGGGGCGTTCGGCCCGAAAATGACGCCCGCGCCTCAGCGAGAGTCGTTTCCCGGGATTTCCCGGGCATCCTGTGTGTTAAAAAAAAGTACGCGGAGAATGCGCGGCCATCACCCGGACGCCATCAGGGGAAGAGGGAGAGTATTTTCATATTGAGTAATTGTGGAGGGAGGGAGGGGGAGGAAGGGGGAGGGAGGGGGAGGGAGGGAGGGAGGGAGGGAGGGAGGGATGGAGGGAGGAGAGGAGGAGGAGGAGGAGGAGGAGGAGGAGAGGAGGAGGAGAGGAGGGGAGGAGGAGGAGGAGGCGGAGGAGGAGGAGGAGGAGGAGGAGGAGGAGGAGGAGGAGGAGGAGGAGGAGGAGGAGGAGGAGGAGGAGGAGGAGGAGGAGGCGGGGACGCGTTGCGCGACGATGTCGCTCCAGCGCCCGCGACCGCGGGCGGCGGGCCCCCACGGGGCCTGCGGGCCCAGGCCGCGACAGGCCTCGGTGTCGTACTCCAGGGGGTCGATGAAGTCCAACGAGTCTTCATCTAGCTCCTCGAGTCCTCCAGGAGGAGGAGGAGGACGAGGAGGAGGAGGAGGAGGAGGAGGAGGAGGAGGAGGAGGAGGAGGAGGAGGAGGAGGAGGAGGAGATGGGAGGATGAGGAGGAGGGAGGAGGAGGAGGAGGAGGAGGAGGAGGAGGAGGAGGAGGGCAGAGGAGGAGGAGGAGGAGGAGGAGGAGGAGGAGGAGGAGGACCACCCTCCAAAGGGGCCAGGGCGGCGGGCCCGCCGCGGCGCCGTCCGCCAGGGGCCCCGCGAAGCTGCAGCACCACCTGGTGCTCCCGCGCGAGCTGCAGATGCCCGGCTTCGACGTGCTGCGGCGTGTTGCGCCGCGCGCGAAGCGCATCTAGGGGAACGAACAATGACATAAACATAACAACTCGGAGGTCCGCGCGGATTTCCCGGATCCGTGCTGGACCCCCCTGGGCGGCGCCTCCGGCGCCGCCCCTGGCGCGCCTCGGGTTCAGGCGCCGATCCGAGAAATCCGCGCGGACCTCCGAGTTTGTATGTTCATGTCATTGTTCGTTTCCCTGGCATCTGGCAGGACACGGGCGTCTCCCTGCGGCTCCATGGCCCCGGCATCCGCGGCGCCGGGCGGCACGAGGAGGAGCCAGCGGCGCGGCGGATCGAAGAGCAAGTCATGATCGACCCACGAGCCCGGGGAGGGATGCAGATCTGCGAGGCGTGGGCACGTTTCCAAGGGGGAAGCGCCGAGGAACGTTTCGAGGGACGCGCCAGAGGACGTGTCAGGGGACTTGCCAGGGGACGCACCACGGGACGTGCCAGGGGGAACGCGCCACGGAATGTGCCAGTGGACGTGCCCAGGGGACGTGCCAGGGGGACGCGCCACGGGACGCACCACGGAACGTGCCAGGGGGAACGCGCCACGGAACGTGCCAGTGAACGTGCCAGGGGGGCGTGCCAGAAGACGCGCCGCGCGACGTGCCATGGGGGACGCACCACGGAACGTGCCAGCGAACATGCCCGAGGGCGACGATCCCTGATAAGTTATGCTGGATTCGCTCCTCCTCCTCCTCTTCCTCCCTCTCCTCACCCTCCTCCTCCTCCTCCTCCTCCTCCTCCTCCTTCCTCCAGCCCTCGCCCTCCTCCTCCTCCTCCTCCTCCTCCTCCTCCTCCTCCTCCTCCTCCTCCTCTGGCCACTATCACTGGTAATCGGTGCTGGTTCGCGCTCCAAGGGCCGTTATCACGTTCCAAGTGAGCGGGTTTCGCGCTTCCTGGGCCACGATCTCCCCCGTCAGTGACGATGCGTCCGCGCTCCCAGGGCCACGATCGCTTGTAAATTATGCTGCGTCCGCACTCTCCGTGCCACGATCCCTCGTAAATCAGGCTGCCTTCGCGCTCCCAGGGCCACGATCCCTTAGAAATTACGCGGCGTCCGCGCTCCCAGGGCCACGATGCCTTAGAAATTTCGCGGCGTCCGCGCTCCCAGGGCCACGATCCCTGGTACATAACGCGGCGTCCGCACTCCGAGAACCACTTGGGCATCCTGGGGCGCCCAGGTGGTTCAAGTTCTGCCAAGCAAGCTTTTTGCTTGAGACATCCTCGGGGATTCTGCGCGCATGACGCGCCACCCTCGAGCGGGCGCGCACAACGTCAACTTCTTCCAATCTCATGTAACAAGTCTCTGTGCCTCCAGACTCCGTTATCAGCCAAGGATTATGTTCAGAACTCCGCTCCGTTTTCTGGTCCTCGGGAGAGGCGGGGTCTCCAGACCCCGTTCTTTATCGAGCATCCGAGATGTGGGGCGCGCACTTTCTCGAACGGGCACGCGCGAAACGCATATGTTGATACGACATGTGACTTCACTCTGTTTTGGGCCGAGGTGAGATTCGCTGGCCCTTCCCCAACACTGCAACGAGGGGGCAGCTCACCAAACCAGAAGAGGACCCTGGGCCCACGTTTCCAGGAGCACGACATGAGCATGATTTCTTTGAGGTCCGCGCGGGTTTCTTGGATCGGCGCCGGGCACTCCTGGCCGCGCCCTGGCGCGCTCCGCGCGGCAGGGGCGGGCTTCCAGCGCCGATCCCAGAAATCCGCGCGGACCTCAGTGAAAGTATGCTTTGCGATTGTCCGCTCCTCTAGCGGAGGAGGGTCCGCGGATGCCATGTGTGCACCGTGCCGCGTTGGCGGCCCCCGAGGCGCTGTCGATCTTCGGCCCAGGAATGGTGCGGTGCACAGCGGATCGGCCCTGAGAGCCCAAAACATATCTGCACCGCACCGCGCTGGAGCGAGGCCCGGAGGGAGTTCACAGATGCTGCGGTGCAGAAGGGCGGGGGAGGGGGCCCTTCGGCCAGGGAGCGGGGTGTACGCGGCGCGGCCAGCCCGGGCGAGAGAGCCCGATGCACCCGCGGCCCGACGTCCTTCCCGGAGCTCGGCCCGTCCGTGGCCGGGCACGCGGGGCTGCCACGTGTGTGTGTCCAGAGCGATGGCTTCCGGCTGCTCCGCACGGCGAACCAGCCATGGGGGTGTGCATGTGGTTCCCAGAGGGGCCCCAGGGAAAGGGACTCTTGAGGCGGGCGGTGCCGATTCCTCAAGCCCGCTCGGCTTCGCCAACGAGGTCGCCGCATGACGCTCTCCCTCGCACATCTCGAAGCCTCAAAATCACCGAGCGCGTTCCACTACTCGCAAAGTGCCTACTCGCAAACGTCCGAAGGACATTTGTCTGCCTCGATGTAATCTATCGTGCATCCCCCGCGGCGGATCCAGGCCATTTGCGAGCAGTTACTTTGCGAGTAGTGGAACGCGCTCGTCTACAAAAGCAACGCCGCGGTCTCAGGAGTCCCTCTCGCCGGCGTCCCTTGATAGGAAGCGTCTCGGGCGTATCGAGCTCCCTGGCGCCTTCGGAACGCAGGGGGGGGGGCTTTCTTTAATTTAGGAGCGCCCTCGGAGGCTCGCTAGCCGGGGCTCGAGGGCTTCTGAGCACCCCCCCCCCGCCGGCCGCCCCCCTCCGCCCCCCTCCGCCGCGCCACCCCCAGCGGCGCGCCGCCGAGAGGAGACGGAGCTCATCCTCTCCCTGTCCTCCAAGGTCGGTGTCGTTTAACCGATCCCCATCCCCATCCCCATCCCCATCCCCATCCCCATCCCCTTCAAGACCCCCACCAAATTATTGCCATCCCAGCTGGGGACACGCCCTCTGGAACCCGCAGGGAACGGCCTGGTACATTCCCACCTATAGGGGGGTAAATCGGCCAGTGGGGCTCAGGCCACGCCGCCGGGGATGGGGATCGGTTCAACGCTACCCACGAGGGCCGTGGCGGCGCCACCGCCGCGAGCTTCCGCGAGGCCGTCGCGCGGGCCGAGGAGCTCGTCCGCGGCAGGGGCGGGCTCCTCGACCAGCTGCGCCGCTTCTGCGAGCAGCGGCGGCTGCCCGCCCCCGGCGACCTGGAGCTCTGGAGCCTGCCCGGCTACCGCCCGGGCAGCCGCCGGCGCTGAGCGGGCTCCTCCTCCTCCTCCTCCTCCTCCCTCCTCCTCCTCCTCCTCCTCCTCCTCCTCCTCCTCCTCCTCCTCCTGGCCGCCGGCGCTGAGCGGGCTCCTCCTCCTCCTCCTCCTCCTCCTGTCCGAGGTGGGAGTTTGTATGCATGACCGCCGCCTGGAGGATGACTTTTCGGGGGCCTCGGCGGGCGGTGGATATGGAGATGTTCGGGCCCCCCGGGGCTAATATGTATGTCTGTCTGTCTGTCAGTCTGTTTGTCTGTCTGTCTGTCTGTCTGTCTGTCTGTCTGTCTGTCTGTCTGTATGTATGTCTGTATGTCTGTATGTCTGTATGTCTGTATGTCTGTATGTCTGTATGTCTGTATGTCTGTATGTCTGTATGTATGTGTGTATGTGTGTATGTATGCATGCATGCATGCATGCATGCATGTCTGTCTGTCTGTCTGTCTGTCTGTCTGTCTGTCTGTCTGTCTGTATGTATGTATGTATGTATGTATGTATGTATGTATGTATGTATTGTAATGCATTGTAATGTAATGTAATGTCATGTAATGTATTGTAATGTAATGTAATGTAATGTAATGTAATGTAATGTAATGTAATGTGCAGTGTAATGTAATGTACTGTACTGTTCTGTTCTGTACTGTACTGTACTGTACTGTAATGTCTGTCTGCCTGTCTGTCTGTCTGTATGTATGTATGTATGCATGTCTGTCTGTCTGTCTGTCTTTCTGTCTGTCTGTCTGTCTGTCTGCCTGTCTGTCTGTCTGTCTGTATGTATGTATGTATGTATTAAAGTTATGTCTGTATGTATACATATACATATATATATGTATGTATGCATGCATGTATGTATGTATGTATGCATGCATGTATGTATGCATGCATGTATGTATGTCTGTATGTCTGTATGTCTGTATGTCTGTATGTCTGTATGTCTGTATGTCTGTATGTCTGTATGTCTGTATGTCTGCATGTCTGTATGTCTGTATGTCTGTGTATACATATACATCTGTATACCCATAATCCACCGCCCGCTGGGGCACCAGGACGCCAGTTCCCAGGCGGTGAGTATGGATAAATCCCCGCCTCGCACCCCGAGCCCGGCGGGGCCCGCCCTCGCCCGCCCGATTGCGGCGGTCGCCGCGCGCGGCCCGTGGCGCGAGGCTGGCGACCGCGTCGTCGCCCCCTCGTCGGGCGAGCCTCTCCGGCTGCGGCGGGCCTGGGGCCGCGGCGACGCCGTCGGCGCTCGCGCGGGCCCGGGCGTACGAACTCGCCGCCCCAGCAGCGGCGGCCCCTGGCGGCGGCCCGAGCGCCCGGCGCGCCGGCAGCGCCCAGAGAGGCCGAGTGCCGAGCGCGCCGCGAGCTCCTGCAGTCTCGCCTCTCGCCTCCTCCTCCTCTCGCCTCCTCCTCCTCCTCCTCCTCCTCCTCCTCCTCCGCCTCCTCCTCTCGTCCTCCCTCTCCCCTCCCCGCGGCCCCCGCCATTGCGAGGGAGAGGGCGATCCCTCTCCTGACGCTTTCGCTCTTGGCAGCGACGAGGACCAGCAGCCACTGTAGACTGGTAGGCGAGCAGTGACCCAGGAGAAGCGACGATGATGATGACTGAAGATGCTACCGCTGCTTCTGCTGATTTTGATGAGGATGGGGCGGAAACCAATGAGTGATGCTGCTGCTGCTGCTAATCATGATGATGATGGCGATGATGCTAATTATGATGATGAGGATGATAATGATGTTGATGATGAGGAGGATGATTATGATGATGATGGTGATGATGATGATGATGATGATGATGATGATGACGATGGTGATGGTGATGGTGATGGTGATGGTGATGGTGATGGTGATGATGCTGCTGATGCAGATGATGACAAATTGTGATGCTGCTGATGATGCTAATGATGATGCTGATGCTGATGCTGATGCTGATGCTGATGCTGATGCTGCTGATGATGATGATGAGGAGGAGGAGGAGGTGGAGGAGCAGCCACAGCAACGCTGACAGGAGGAGGGCATGGGCAAGAGCGAGGCGGACTGGGAGGAGGAGGCGGAGGAGGAGGAGGAAACGGAGGAGGAGGAGGATGCCGAAGCGGTCGAGGATTATTGGGAGGATGCCGATGACGATTGATCAGCGATGACAGCAGGTGATGATGATGCTGATGATGATGGTGGTGGTGGTCATGGCGATGATGATGCTGCTGATGATGATGAGGATGATGATGATGGTGGTGATAATGCGGATGATGACGATGATGATGACGATGATGATGATACTGATAGTGATGCTGCTGATGATGATGACGATGATGGTGATGCTGATGACCATGCTGATGATGGTGGTGCTGCTGCTGATGATGCTCAGGATGGCGATGATGATGATGATGATGATGATGATGATGCTGATGACGATGATGATGATGACGATGACAGTGACGAAGATGATGATGATGATACCGATGACGAAGATGCAGCTGTTGATGATGATGTTTTTGATGGTGACGCGGGTGATGAGGATGATGATGTCGATGCTGTTGAGGATGATGTTGCTAATGATGCTGTTGTTGATGATGATGAGGGTTATTCATAAGATGGTATCTACGATGATGACAATGACGACGACGATGCTGATGATGCTGATGATGATGATGCTGATGCTGATGCTGATTAGTATTCTGATCCTGTTGCTGATGACGAGGATGATGATGCTGATGCTGATGCTGATGCTGCTGCTGCTGATGATGCTGATGATGATGGTGATGATGATGATGATGATGATGATGATGATGATGATGATGATGTTGATGCTGATTAGTATTCTGATGATGCTGCAGATGATGATGAAGACGATGATGATGCTGCCGACTATGATGCTGATGCTGATGCTGATGCTGATGCTGATGCTGATGCTGATGCTGATGCTGATGCTGATGCTGATGCTGCTGCTGCTGCTGATGATGGTACTGGTGATGGGATGGTCATGCTGATGCTGCCGCTGATGATGATAATGATGATGCTGCTGATGATGATGCTGATGATGATGCTGATGATGCTGATGATGATGATGCTGGGGATGCTGATGATGCTGATGAGGACTATAATGATGTTTGTGATCGTGGTGGCGATGATGGTATGTAAGATGATGATGCTGATGCTGACGACGATGCTGATGATGTCGGTGACGGTGATGACGGCAGCGGTGATGGCGTCCCACACGGCCCGTGGCCATCTCGACGTGGCAGGGGCCTCCCAGGGGGGAGCCGCCATGAGGTTTTACGCGGGCCCGTTCGCAATCAGATTGGTAGGGCCTCTCTGGTATAACATCAGTTTTGAAAGTAAGGGTCTGCCGTATTTCGTAGCCCCATGACCATGGCGATGTAGCATTACTGTCACTTGGGACTCCCACTGAAGGAAAGCCGCCATGTGAGTACTACACTGGCCTGGTCGCGTCCATATCGGTGGCGCCTCTTAGAAATGATGTTCTTTTTCGAAGGCAGACGTATTCTTGAACATTACATGGCCATCGCGATGTAGCAGGTATTCTTCCATCTTGGCCTCACAGGGGGGGGGGGCACCAGAATGTACTACACGGGCCCGCTCGCATCCAGACTTGTCGGACCTCCCAGGTGGAAATGCAACTTTTTGAAGGCCGACGAGTCTCTGTTGACAGCCCCGTGATCGTCGCGATGAAGCAGGCGTGGCACTTGGGCCTCCCAAGTAGGAGCTGCCACGGAGTCGACACGGGCCCGATTGCGCCCAGGCTGCTGGGGCCTCTCGGGCACGCCGCTCGTTGTGGTGCGTGGACGTGCTTGCTCTCGCAGCCCGATGGTCACCGCGATGCTTCAGGCGTGGCGCTTGGGTCTCCCCAGGGGGATCCGCCATGGTGGCACGGCACGGGCCCATCCGCGCCCAGGTTGTGGGGACCTCTCGGGCGCCCCGATCGCAGGATCCTTTCACTCATGCCCATACTGTGGCATGTTCCGATCCACTCACTTTCAAGCCCACTCGTCACCAGACTCGCTGACCTCCAGCCGCGCATGCTCAGGCACACGCGCACCCAGACCCATTCACATCCAGGCGCTCGTACGCAGACGCACTCACGGTCATATCCGTGCTTACCCGTACCCTGTCATACCGATACCTAATCATGTTGAGACGTCCCCATGTCAGTCGCTCACACTCAGATTCACTCACGATAAGACTCACTCACACCCAGACTCATTCATTATCAGGCCCACTTGTACTCAGACTCGCTGATACTCAGAGCCACCCATACCCAGCCGCTTATGCTCAGACTCAGTCCTGCCCAGACTCCCGCATATCCAGCCCCTCGTGTGCAGACTCGCTTGTATTCAGACTATGCTCAGACGCTCAGAAGAGGACGCGCCGGAGCGCGTGTGTGCTCACGTGGGGATCCCCCGCGTCAGACAACCTCAGCACCCGGGCTCCCCGACTCCAGGCGCAGCGGCCGAGAAGCCCAAGGAGCCCGCCACGTTCACGATGGTGCAGCTCGAGGCGGCTCCCCCGAGCGGCCCCCTCGTCGCCCTACGAGCGGGCCGACGGCCAGAGCCTTGTCCGAGAGAGCACCCGGGACTCCGGCACCTCCACCTCGTGCAGGCACGGCGGCGGAGCTGCGAGGCCGTCGGAGGCCTCGCTGGGGCCTCCCGCCTGGGGGAGCCTTTGGCTGTGCGGCCCTCGGGGGCCGCCGGGGAAGGGGCGCGCAAGCCCACGCACCCATCTCCGAGGAGGAGGAGGAGGAGGAGGAGGAGGAGGAGGAGGAGGAGGAGGAGGAGGAGGAGGATGGAGGATGGAGGATGGAGGAGGATGGAGGATGGAGGATGGAGCTGCCCCACACAGCCAACGCTTTGAGCAGAAATCCGGACGACGTTTCTGCTGCAGTTTTCGGCCTCCGGGGGGGCCCTCGCCGGGCCCTCGCACAGGCGGCTCGGGATGAGACGCCGGCCCTAGGGAAAGGGTTGGGGCTGCTGGGGCACTCCGCAGGGCGCGCAGCGGCCGTCGCACCGCGCAGCAATCCGGGCGCCGACAGGGAGACCGGCCCGAGGGCGGGGGGAGAAGGAGGAGGAGGATGAGAAGAGGGAGGAGGAGGAGGAGGAGGAGGAGGAGGAGGATGAATAGGAGGACCAGAATAAATCTAAGAGTCATCAATGATGTTGGAATGAACCCTCCCTCCGAACTCCCTCTTCATAGGCCCCTACAACGGTTCATTGCCAGTGGGCGCCTCGTTGGAAAACAACCGTCTGAAGATCCTGATGCATGCCAAAACATTGTTCTCGGGACTCCAACGCCACGGGTCAACCTGACTGTTGCGTTTTGACGATCCTGAATCGTGCCAGAACGCCGTTCTTTGGACTTTAACACCGCGAATGAGCGTAAATGATGCGACCGCGTAATCCCGAATCCTATCAAAGCAACACTTCTGGTACGTTGATGGTGGGAATCCGTGAAGCTCTTGCCATCTGTATTCAAGAATGTGCGCGGCGCTAAGTCGGGAGCCACATTCTGAAAAGGAACTGCCCTCAATCCGTGAAGCTCTTGCGAATATTTCAAGCGAATGTGCGCGGCGCTCAGGCGAGAGCCACATTTTGAAGACGAGTTCCCCTTAATCCGTGAAGCTCTTATAATGTTTTAAAATGAATGTACGCGGCGCTAAGGCGGGAGCCACATTCTGAAAAGGAATTGCCCTCAATCCGTGAAGCTCTTGCGAATCTTTCAAGCGAATGTGCGCGGCGCTCAGGCGAGAGCCACATTTTGAAGACGACCCGCCCTCCATCTGTGAAGGTGTTGCCAATGTTGAAGCTTTAGGGTCGTAAATGGTGACGAAGTCTCAAGCGACACGCCCAGCCCGCATTCAAAGCTGGCTTCGGGGTGCGACAGGGAGATGTTATTTGTAAGGAAAAGGAATGGAGGAGGCGGGAGGAGGAGGAGGAGGAGGAGGAGGAGGAGGAGGGGGATGGCGGGTTGTGGGAGGGTTACCGCCTGGACCGAGCGGGGGTGTGGCGGGCGGAGGGAGCTTGAAGGCGGGCGTTTGAGGAGGAAGAGGAGTGAAAGAGGAAGGAAGGACGATCGGCGCCAAATCGCCCATCCATGGGCCCATCGTGGGCCACGGGACCCCCCCCCCCCCCCCCCCAGGGAGCGTGCGTTGCGGTTTTTTGCGGCCCCGCCGGTTCGGCCCCCTCCCCGGTTGCGCGCGTTGCGCCGCGGGGTCTGTCAAGGTTTGCGCCGCCAATTCCCAGGACCAATGCCTCGCCCTTTCCTCCTCCTCCTCCTCCTCTTCCTCCCCTATTCCTCCTCCATCCCCTCTCCTCATCTCCTCATCCTCCTCCCTCATCCTCCTCCTCCTCCCCCTCCTCCTCCTCCTCCTCTTCCCTCCTCCCCCTCCTCCTCATGATCCAGTCTCAAGCGCGGCATGTCCCCCTACAGGAGGAACAAAAAGTCGAAAACAGTCCACAGATATAGCCCGGGGACGATTTGTCGAAGGTTTTCGACGATGCTCGAGTTCTGCGGAATCCATTCTCTCAACATCCACCCGCAGGAGGACACACCCGACCGACATCCAGTCCCCCCGCGTTGCTCGCAGGAGGGCCAGTTGCAACAGCGGCGGCCCCCCCGCCCGGCTTCAAAATTCGCCCCGGGTCGGTCCCTGGACCCCTCCCCGGGGCCTCTCCCGACCCCGCTCTCCGAGGCGAGCTGCAGCCGCGGCGACGACGAGCCTCCTTGGAAGGAGGCTCCAGAGAGAGGACTGGCCCCCCCGACTTGTGCTCCCTCCCCTCCCCTTTCCCCCCCTCCCCTCCATTCCTTCCCCCTCCCCTCCCCTCACTCCCTCCCCTGCCTCCCAGGAGGGCCAGAAATAGCACCAGCACCCCTGAGGTTTGAGGCAGTCCAGAGAAGTCTATGGGTCTGGATGACAATTCTTTAGCACCTTGGAAGGTCAGGGCCCCCTCCCCTACCCCCCTTTCGGATTTCCGAAATGGTGGCTGGTCTGTTGGTGGCTGAGCCATTGTGCAAGAGCAGTTTGAGTCCTCAATATGTGCAACCAAGTTCCTAGCCACCACTGCGTAATCCCACGTGGTGTCTCGTGGGTCAGGGGTCTTGTGTGGACCGCCTGCGTAACTGGCCAAACACGATGCAGACTGCGAAATTGTGATTCGGCCTATGCGGATAGTTTCTGACTGCAGAAGCAGTAACCACTATGCTACCAACCTCGGACGGGGCTAGGACGAGGATCAATCCGTCCCAGAGCGCTCCGGAACGCACTCAGGGCTTTCTGGAACGCCCTGAAAAGGCCGCGGCGCCCGAGACATCCTCCAGACCCCCCAGATCTCCGAGATTCTCGATCTGCCCTCACCCGTTTTTTTCTCCTCGTCCTGGCCTCGTCTTGCGCTCCTTCCCCCCCCGCATCCGCCAGAGGCCACTCCTTGCCCCGAGGCCACTCCTGCCTGGCGCCCAGGCCTCTCCGCCCACTTGTCCTCCCCGGAGCTCCGCCGCAGCGGAAACATTGCAACATAGTAATCGGGGGTGGGCAGAACCCCCAACAGTGACACGTCGATTAGTGAATTGTCCGTTTTCGGTTCTCGAGAGGGCGCCGTGGCCGTTATTTTCCAGGCTTGCGCCCGCCAGGTTTGGGAATCAGGTCGTTTTCATTAAACCACGTTTTACTAAAGGGGGGTCTGTCCATCCCCGAAGTTAAAAGTCACGCGCGGAGCTCTGGACCCCATCTTTCTGCTCCTGTCTGCCCGAGAAATGGGCGAAAACGCCCGGCTCGAGCAAAATTGAGACGCCAGGATCTCAGGGTCCACTGGCCGCCGCCCTCCCCCCCTCGTTACGTTGCATCTTTGGGGGACCTCGCCTATCCCCCAAATTGGTATGTTTTTTCCCGGTAAGGGCATCGGCTCATGGTTCTATTTGAGTTTTGTTAAACAGAGGGCCAGGTATTTATTTGCGACGGGCCGGCGAATTTCTTTCGCGACAAAAGAGGTCGAGACGGGCCGGCGAATTAAAATTTGATGATGTCCCGTACGAGACGATCGTTTTTGAAATTCCGATCGATCAAACACAGGGCGCGGAACACCTAGGTTAGGGGCACGAATCCGTATGTTTTTACACGTGCTCCCGTATATTGGCCCTCTCCAAGGGCACGAAGCCGTGTTTTTTTACATCTGTGCCTATATATTGGCTTTCTCCAGGTGGCACCACGAGGCCCTGGGTGACCTGGGCCCTCGGAGGGCCCAGGTCACCCAGGGGGGTATCTAACATGGTCGTCGCGAGCTGGAACCACAGGTTATTACGTGTCCAGGCCACCCGATGGGGTATCTAACATGGTTGCCCCGCACTGGAACCACGTGTTTTTACGTGTCCAGGCCGCCCAGGGGGTGTCTAACATGAGTGCCCCGAGCAAACACCATGTGTTTTTATATGTCCAGGCCCCTCAGGGGTGTATCTAGCATGGTTGTCCCAAGCTTGCACCACGTGTTTTTACGTGTCCAGGTCACCCAGGGGGGTATCCAATTTGGTTGTCCCGAGTGAGGACCACGTGTTTAAATGTGTCCAGGTCACCCACGGGTGTATCTAACATGGCTGTCTAGAGCTAGCACCACGTGTTTTTACGTGTCCAGGCCACCCAGGGGGGTATCTAACATGGTTGTCCCGAGTAAGGACCACGTGTTTTTACGTGCCCAGGTCACCCAGGGGGGTATCTAACATGAGTGCCCCGTGCAAGCACCTGTTTTTATGTGTCCAGGCCACCCATTGAGGTATCTAGTTCATATGATTGTCCCGAATTGGAGCCACGTGTTTTACGTGTCCAGGCCGCCCAGGGGTGTATCTAACATGGCGTCGGGCCCAATGCCGAATTATCAGGAAACGCACGGGGGGCCGAAAAGCGCTACCCGAACACATATCCCAAAACAACAAAGTTATGCTTTCTTGCTCTGGACAGGGGGTGGCGCTTTGGGGGCCTCTCCAGGGAACACATCGCGATGATGTCTCGAGCGGGAGCGCGAATTCAGCGTATCCAGGCCACGCAGGGGGGTATCTAACATGGTTGTCCAGAGCTGGCACCACGTGCTTTTACATGTCCAGGTCACCCAGCATGGTTGTCCCGAGCTGGAACCACGTGTTTTTACATGTCCAGGCCACCCAGGGGGGTATCTAACATGGTTGTCCCGAGCTGGAACCACGTTCTTTTACGTGTCCAGGCCACCCAGGGAGATATATGACATGGTTGTCCCGAGCTTGTATCATGTGTGTTTTACATGTCCAGGCCACCCAGGGGGGTATCTAACATGAGTGTCCCGAGCAAGGACCATGTGTTTTTACGTGTCGAGGCCACTCAGGGGTGTATCTAACATGGTTGTCCCGAGCTGGCACCCTGTGTTTTTACATGTCCAGGCCACCCACGGGGGTATCTAACATGGTTGTCCCGAGTAATTACCACACGTTTTAATGTGTCCAGGCCACCCATGGGGTGTGTCTAATATGGTTGCCCAGAGCTGGTC